TGTAGGCACAGTTGCCCGTACAAGTCATCTATAATACAATGTAATACAATCTGAGCTAAGCTTATCCTTTGAACATTCGTGTTTGGTTTCGTATGCGACGGCAGCTTTTGCTGGCAAATGATATCTGTCTGATTAGGGTACCGACTGTCGTTCATGAGTGGTGGCCCGGTGATAACGTCACCAAATTATCGTCCCGGGGATGTGTGTGTGTGTGTGTTTGAATCCCATCACCACCGTCTGGCTTTCCCCATTGTGTGTTGATTGGCCGCTTCCTCCTTCTTGAAAATTGTATCTTTGTATGTTCAGTGAAAGGAGATAAAGTGAAAAGAAAAAAATCTGGACAATTTCCCTTCATCACGCTTTTCCAGTTTACGGATTTTTTGGCATCCGATCTGTTGTAGTAGAACAGGATGCGAGTCAGATTGTGATTGAGAAAACAAGAGCCCCTGGGACACTTCAACAAATAAACTACAGTGGAAACTAAGCAAAGCAGGGGACTAGAACAAAGCGGCGCAGTTACCGATAATAAATGTCTTTTTAATTTCTTTTTTAGTTATTGAATATACAAATGTAAGGTCAACATTCAGGCAGGGGGGGCGCGGTCATGCAAAGGCTACCTGGGAAGATGGGTGGCGGTGGAGCGATTCGAACCCTAGACTCCCAGATCACAAGTTGGCGAATACCGCCAACGAAAAACTCTCCTTCACTCATCGACCCTCGGAGCGATTCAAAATGAAAGTTCAGTCTGGTCGTTATCGCTTCTTTCAGACCTTGCTTTGTTGTGTTTGGGGGACGCGGGGTTACATGTTGTGCAACCCATCTGGATCACCTTTTTGTTTCCGATGAACCTCCCTGTTAAAGCTAACATTCACTAAAAAAAGCAAATTCAATCTAATTCATGTGATGTGATTAAGCGGTGAACACATTTTGGTTCATTTGTGCATTCCTCAAAACGATTATATAAATCAAATATTTACTAACAATATGGAGTTGTTTCAAAAGTGACAATAAATGGCACACGGTCATCAGTCCAAAGATCAATAATACAACGCTCTAAATGAAACAACCGTGACCAAAACAGGTGAGGTTTCAAAGAAGATGGACATGCAGCCACAGACCGGAATCAGGCATAACTTTGTCCAATGAATGATCTTTTATTGTTGACAGTAAGCGTTAATAAATTCCATTCAACTTGTTTAACGCCCCTCACCGGGTCGGGGTGAGGGGTGGGTGGGAGGCAGTTTTGTCTTTTCGCAAAGATATCAGTATGTTAAGTTGGGAGGAAGACAGTCGACGACATCACTCAATAGCTCGGGCGTTCTTCAATGTGCTGTCCTAACATCCTCTCTGTGTCTCTCTGCGTCTCATTCACATTTTAAGTATGCAGATGACATCGCCATTTCTATTTCCGTATCTAACCAATCACAACTGGTTGAATATAACATGAACCTATCCCACCTCGTTTCATATTTCACTTCATCTGATCTTAATCTTAATCCTGAAAAATGCCTTAAATGTATTCTTACTGTTAACCGTTCCGACAATGTACAGATTCATTGAAAACGGATGAGCAAGGTCAGCCATGTGAAGTATTTAGGTGTCACACTTGAAAGTAACCTTTGCTGGTCCTTACATACCCAAACTGTTGCGCGCAAGTTGAAAGTTCTCTCTTTTCAGGTAAGAAGACTGCGCCACTTCTGTTCTGACGTGTCGGTGATAGACGCTTTCGTTCAACAATGTGTTCTTCCTATACCTTTTTACTGCTCCCCAGTAATTTCCCCTGGTTTGCTAAAGGCTGATTTCAAGTTTCTGGAGCGTGGCCCCTCAGTAGTCAGTTGTGTCTTCCAAGTTCTGAATAACAACATGCGTAATGCCCATATTGCTGCATGCTTGAATTTTGCTGACATTATTCTATCTGATTGCACCTATCCTCTACACATTTACCTGTGTGCATGCAAATCCCACCTATTCTAAGTACAAAATTATCCTGTCTGGCATATCTGTATACAGAAACTCTTTGCTACCCTATCTTGCCCGAATACTGACAGACAAGGAAAGTGTTCGTTCTGAGCTTTCTTATACACTTAGTAATTAACCCATATTTTTGTAAGTTTTACATCCCACTGTTTTTACCATTTTAACAGAATTGCAACGGTGGTCTATTTTTTGCTGAAGGCTTGTTTATAACTCACTAAAGATTGAATACAATACAATAAAATACAACAAATTTTGTTTTGTGTTATTGAAGAAAACCATCGATTCAACCCGTCCGTCTCAAGCCCTTAACATTGAAATCATTACAAACAACGTTTCTGGATCATTTGGTTACAAACTCGCGGGAATTCGCTTCTCCTTTTTTCCCGATTGGTACACAAGGGCCGGACAAAAACAAGCATGAAATCATTCAGTGACGGGGCCATGTGACGTTTGTCAACAACGGGAACTTTCCAAAGCGCTCGGTTCCAACTGTGAATGACACACACGGTGGTATTAAGTCGGAATTTGATGAAATTCAACGCTTCTCTTCCGGAATTCCGACAGGAATAACGACTTGACTAGCCCTCACACACACACACACAAAGTGTTCCTTATTGTCCTGACTGTAGGTCCAGTATCCAGCCCGTACTTATTCTCGTCCGATGAACTTTATCGTTGAGAGAATAGTACAACCATGAGCGGAAAGGTTATAAAGCATTACGTATTACGTGTGATTCAAAGTTATGAATTGCAAAAAATACGCTACTCACTTGCCCACCGAGTTAGCGATCGCACTGCTTCATACGTGTTCATAGGTGTGGTTACCCTCGGGCTAAACGGAACTGAATGCTACCAGGCGCGTCCCCGGGTTGTGAATGATAGGGGGATACCTTCAACGAAGAAGGTTAGCTGTGAATAGGTTGTGGCATGCCGCAACAAATAAGCAGGGGTGAACAAACAGGGACGGCACTACTAGGGTGTGGTGGGTTTCAAGCTGGTCACCTGTTTAAAAGCCGCATAAGCCCAGTGGTGGTGTCGTGACAAAGGTCGATGTGACTGGCCTTCAAAAACTAAAGGCATTGATGCCCTCACTTCCGAGGCGAGGGATTACTTCCTGTTGCCTTGCCGTTCGCACTTGATTGTACAAAAGCTAGAGGTGAGGCCCAAAAATAATTAAAAAACCGCCGAGTAACGCTAAGGACGTCTCACGTACCAAACACCCAGGTAACTTCACGATCATGATCATGTCTGGAGCTGGCTTATCCTTCCCGAGGAGCCAGTTCACAGTAAAGTAAAAGTAAGGTAATGATAGCACGATGCATGTTTGGCAGCTTGTTGCGATCCCCTCTGACGCCAGACACCGTAGGCACTGGACACTATGGTTGAAAATGGGTTAAAACCTCCCAACCCCGGTCACTTGTTGTCAGACACCATAGTTATAGTGCGATTGAAATTGCTTTCCTGACGTCATCCAACACAAAGGCAACTAGTTTGGATGCATTACTAGTTCTATTGTGTCATTTATTCATTAGTTCATTCATTCATTAATGAATTGATTCAGTCGATTGAACATCACATTACAATTGGTCTATTCGTCGATCGTGTGTCGACGTACGGGCTGTGGAGCATGTGATAACTGCTTTGGAACAGATAGGTGGCGCGGACTATTTACAAGAGCGTGTTTACCAATAGATTTGTGTGAGTGTGAGTGTNGTGAGTGAGTGCTTTTCAGCTATTCGGCATAGTTGAAATGTAAACCGGGGCCGGGTATTGGGTTGTAAATGGTTCGGGTGAAGCAAAGATGAACGGTCGAAAGGTCACGTGAACTGACAAGCAGACACATGGACAGTTGGACGAACTCATCGTAGTGGGTGCGGTGGGAGGTCAGGGGGG